GTGCATGGTACACCAACAGAATCCCCAATCTGTCTCGGTCGCCCAACATCAAGTGGAAGCACTCCAGCCCCGGTCTCGAGAGGACAGGAAGTCCCATAAGGGAAATTGAAGCTCGATAAACCAGAGCGACCCCCCCCCCTCCAGGCATGGTTGGTGCTGGACCAGGTACCCGGGCAGGCACAATTGTGAGAGGGAAACATCCCCCACTCACCCGCCCAGGTCTCTGTGATGCAAGCCAGGTCGGCCCTCTCATCCATGATCAAATCGGACCAACCTGGCATTAAGCAGCAGCACCGACAGGCCCAGAGGGCAGTTGACAAGTCTACCTGGAACCCACCAGCTGGGGGAATAACCAGAAAGAGGGACAGGTGTTAACCATCTGTCCCTCCTTCTTCTAGGCTGACCCGTTAGACCCCCAATGCCATAACGTCCATTGCCCATCACCACCCCGATGGCGGCACCCCCGTGCTCCCCAGACAACATTATAGTAATGCACGGGATGCACCAATTAAAAGCAATCTAAAACCAACAATTAAACCCATTAAAAACATCCTACCATAATCCACTGCAGCGGGCGGTGGAGCAGCGGCAAAGTCCGGGCTACACGGGCTCCGGGCGGCGTGGATGGAGGTGGGGCCGTCCAGCGTGCTGGTTTGCTCCCAGGTGCCAGCCTGGTCGCTGCCGGCGCTTTGTGTCCCACAGGGCCCCTCCCCGTGCCCCACCCCATCCTGGTGCGTCTCTCACACACACTGGGGGAAACAGGCCGGAGCAGGGTCCTGGGCTGGTGGTCCTGGCCTCTGCGGCAGGGCAGCGGCAGCAGCGGCTGGCAGAGCAGCGGCGAGGTCTGGGCGACGTGGGTTCCGGGCGGCGCGGATGGAGGTGGGGCCATCTGGCACGCTGGTTTCCTCCCAAATGTAACACAGAAACAGAGAAACAGAAACAGAGTTAGAAGTGACCTCCTGGCCATCTAGTCTGACCCCTGCCTCCAGCCGGCTCTGCTCATGGCATGAGCATGTCTAGCTTATCCTTGAACACCCTCACCGATGGGACTTCAACCACCTTCCGTGGGGGCCCATTCCACATCCGTGGTGTCCTGACTATCAAAATCTCTTCAATTGCAGATCGCAGCTCCTCAAATTCTCAGCCAGAATAGCCTCCAGGAAGGAAAGGTGGGATATAAATCAATAGGTGATGGAGTTATAGTCCATCCCATCAAAAGGAAACTAGGTTGGGAAGGCACATTCTAAAGCTATTATATTTTAAATTCTGTCAAGAATTATATTCACTCAGGAAAATCCAATAATTACATTTCTATTCTGGACAGTAGCCAAAGCTCTTTGGGTGGTTTACAAAGATTAAAAACCTTAAAATGTAACAGTGCACATAATGTAGCAACAATTTTCAGACAGACATATAAGCAGACACCACACACACACACACACACACACACACACACACACTTATTAATGGGAGGACAGCCCTGCTCACTTACTTTCCCTCTCTCGTTTCCCCCTCTCCCTTGTCCCATCTCCTTTCCCCCCCCTCCTCTCCACCAGCAGGCTTCTGGGAAAAGGGCAGTGTGCTTCTTCAGGAGGTCTAAGATATCCTTCCCCACTTTATCATGAGTTCTCCTGGCAGATGATAGGGTACAGGTTACTCTTTGTGGGCCTGGTGCATATGCCAAGTGCTGGACCCCCCTATTTACACTTTCAAAAAGCACTTTTTCACATACAGACTTGCAAATGAGCCCAGCTTAGCTTCATCATCTATCTCATATTGCCAAGGGGTCAAGAAGAAGTAATGATCCTCCTGATGCATGTATCTGGCAGCCATTTATACCCACTCTTGATTTTTGGGATTTGCACTACAAAGTTGAAGGAGCACTGCTATGCCTCTATAACAGGAAGAAATTTTAAAAAATGCCTGCACATTTTAATGTCCTCTTTCTATCTCAGTAACTTCTCAAAGCACTTAGATAGAAAGATTATTTCAATGTCATGTTGCCCCAGTTTTATTCCTACTTAAGAGAAGTCCTGTGCAGTCAAGATGAAGAAGATGTCTCATTTTTTAAACTTCCACCTCACTGCCTTGATAAGTATAATTTTAACATGATGAATAATATACTGGCACTAGTCACAGGGACAAGACTACATCAATTAAAATTCTGTGCCTTCACCTCAAAACTTTGTGCAAAAACCATTCAGGACTCCTAGGTCACAGCTCAAAACTGAACGACTGGCAGTGACAGAGTATGAATTCTTTTCAGAACTATCTTCTGAGCTTGGCAACATTAGTTTTGACACATATTTTTGAATTTTAACTTTGCATAAAGCATGAAAGTTGGTGTAAGCACACATGCAGGCAGGCGTTCCCTATTTTCCCTTTGCACGAACCAGGGAATGTTCAAAGTTCCCTTTCCAGGACTAGGGTTGCCTTAAGATTATCAATATTAGCAACATGGAACATCCTACTGAAAGTTCATTTTATTTGCTTGTGTACAGGTTTGTAGGAGCTTAGAAGGCAAAGATCAGTTTGAATGCAGTAGCAGAACAGGCTGCTGAATTCCACTTCCTCTTAGGGTGACCATGTGCCCTTTAATACAGAAAACAGTCCTCTGTTTTGAAGGTATCCTTTATATGAAGGGATGTCCAGTCCAAATCCAGTATACAGATAAAGAAGAAAGAGAGATGCCCATCAACAGATATCCTTTCAAACTAGGACACTATGTGCTGCACTTCAGTTTACATTGTATATGCAAATAGTATGCAAATTACTGTTATCTTTCATGGGAGTGCCTTTTATCTAGTCTGATGATTCACAAGTGGCCACCCTGCTTTGTCTACAACCTTACCAAACCAAAACTCCTTTGTAAACCCACACACTTTGTGCTCTCCAGTTCAGAAACAACAGGGTGTGTCAATGGACGGGATATTGTATTTCCTTGATGTTGACTAGAAGCCCCCAAGGCATGTTGGAGCAAGGCAACCCTGATGGTCTGAGCAGCTAAAGCTCCACAGTCTCCTCCACCCCACGAACGATCACCTAGAGAGCAGCAAGTGCTGGAGCAGAGACGGAGGGCCCGTTGTTAGCACCAGGGCCGACAAAGGCATGCCGGGTCCATGAGGACCAACACCAGACCTGGCAGCTTTCCCTAGAAGAAACATTGACTGTCAAGAGCAACTAGCTCAACACAGAGATGTTTACACATGCTCAATGTATTTTTATTTTTCATTTTTTGGTTTTTGCTTTACTTTTAAAACATTTCTCTTTCTACAAGGAAATTGTGCTTATTCTTAAGTAAATAAATTCAGCAGCAGGCAGCAAGAGGAAATGCCATTTAATTCTTGTAGTCATTATGGTGCCATAATCTAAGACAGTTTAGAGGGCAGAACTACAAATGCTGAAATGCATCTGCTTGTTTGTTTGTTCCAATGTATCACAACTTGTTGGTTGTTTCACTGTTATCATGAAACTAGAGTGGGAGGTGCAGAGAAATATTATCTGAAAGCTTCACAACTGAGATAATACAGATGCTTTTCGAAGGGACCCCATCAGAACATTCGGTCCCAGCCACAGAGAAACCCCTGAGGCCCCACTTTCCAACTGAGGCTAGGATTGGCATGAAGCTTTTGATTTCCAGAGAAAATCAGTTTTGATTCTCTTGGTCTGCCTCTTCCTTGAGGACTTGACAGAGTCAAAGAAGCAGGCATTTGGCTCGGAGCTTAGCTCTTCTCATTTTGGCCAATGCCCTCCTGGCACCTTGCCTGCACTGATGGGCCATCAAGTGGAGAAGGGAGTTAGAGGGGAGGCTCGGGGGTGGGGGGGATGGTCTGGATGGATCCAGCATCTGGATGGATCCTGGTGGCCCATCTGGAGGCTGACGGGGTGGAGGCTGACTGTGCAGAGACTGAACCACAGGCTGATCCTGTATGGATGGCAGTTCCTTCTAAAATGCAGCAATGCGTCTACATTTGCATGAACACATGTAAATCAGCACATTCAGAAGGTTGGTGATCCACTGGAAGGGTTTTCTCGTTTAAATCATGTTATTTTTTTAACCAAAAAAAGCAAGTTGGTGTCCTCTTTTTATGGCAATGTGAAAATAGCCCTGCCACAGGATCAGCATCCCCTCTTTGATCCTGTGGATGGGGCTTCTTCACAGGAGCCTCCCAGAATAGCGTTTGCATCTGCATCTGCTAAGCATCTTCCACATTAATTGAGGCACACGTTCCGAGACATTGCCTCCCCTTTTGTTCCCAATTGCCTGTCAAAACTCCCTTGTCTTCCATCAAGCCAATTCAGATTAAATTGTGTGCTGTGCTACTTCAGAGCAGTGCTCTGTTGGTGTGTGTGGCGTAAACTGATAAGAGACACAAAAAAGGGAAAGTCAAAGACAGAAAGATGAAAGAGGCACTTTTCGTAAAGCACTTCTGCCATAAAAGATGAACTGTATAATATTGCCAGCCAGGGGATGTAGCAATTAGTTTTCACATATTCCTGGTGCTCACTGATAGGGAAGCAGTGGGGGGGGGATGCCCACATGTGCACATGCATTTTGACTTTCAGAACAATACAACAATTAACACTTGTATTATAGAACTTCTAAAAGATGCTATTATTAGTGAGGCAGGTGTATCTGCCATTTCGTCAAACGGATTTCTGTGAAAAGGAACTGGTGTCTTTTTCCATTGCAGCACTGGAAACAACACTCTCTGATTTGAAGATCAAAGTTGCTTTAAGTAAAAGGTCAGCATTCAAGCATCATTACTGAAACAAGTGGATTTAAGGGATTCCTCTTCTGAAACATGTTGTCAGGTTGTGAAGAGAGTATATGGTATGTATGCAGTGGGGAGCACACTTGGCTTTGAAATGGGTGCATGTGAGAAAAATGAGGAATAATATAAAAGAATCAAGTTGAAAATCCCATTGGGCTGCAATAAGCAGTCAAATCCGCAGCAGAAGAGCATGAGAGTAAGTGGAGAGCTGAAAACTTCAGGTAAGTGGAACATCAGCCCCTTGGGCTCTTGAGAACTCTTTACTGCTCACTGGTGAAAAAGCTGCTGTTGGGAAATCAGTGGGTGTAAAAGCAAGATTTACATAAGGAGCAAGGCTGAGTTTTTGATACTGACCACTTTTTGCAAATGGTTCGGTCCCACTTGATTTCTAGAGGCTGAAAGGAAAAGGCAAATATTTAAAATTGAAGCATGTTTTGAAAAATGATTATGTAGAAAAAGAGAGACAACAGGTTTCACTTCCATCCAGTGGTAGCAGAAAGAGTGTGTGTGTGTGTGTGTGTGTGTGTGTACATATGTTTATACATACACACAGAGAGAGCAGTGCCCTAGTCCTTGATATGCTCTCATATTTGGGGTCAGAGCCTGAACAGAAGACCTTTTGGAGAAACTACAGAAATTGCTTCGAGGTTTACAAAGGAAAAGTGGGAAATAATTAGAAAGACAGAAAACTTTCCATTTTCATTGACTCATAAATCAACTGTTTAAATGTCACTGAGGCTTAACCCCTTCACAAAAGAATAGATTTGCTGGAGCCAGGTTTACCCCAAGAGGAGTATCCTTTTTGCCAGCCCATGGCCTCAGATGCCCACGGCCCCCTGCACGTTCCTTTCTCAGACTGTTTTTCTGGTCTATTTTCAGCACTGCCCGCCAAGGCCTTATTTGCCATTCTGTCACTGCTGTCTCTGATCATATGGTTGTACTTTAAGTGGCTGGCCAGACATAAGGCTGCAAGTACAAGCAGCTGATGGCGTGGAAGACGTGTGCCCGAAACGAATGCATCTTCTCTGCAACATCCAAGCTGGCCTAGCGAGTACAAACATGCGCAGAGGAGACTTCTAAGAATGGGTGAGAGAGCTGTTTCTTTTGGTGTCACTCTCATAGAACAAGAGTAGCTTTTAAGCAAACCAGTGCTAATTCTTACTATTGTTTCTTTCTATTGCCACTGTTCTTTAAGCCCCTGATGTGTGTGCATGGCAGAGACAGGGAACAACAGCTGAAATGATTGATTCCTGAGCCTAGCACCACCTCCATCCAGTCAGATTTTACTAGTTCTTTCAGCCAGTACTCTAGTCTGGTTGGAATGCTTTGCTTCTCATTCCTACTGAGCTTCTGGTGGAAAAAAAATGGAGGTATAGAAAGCTTGTTTGAAAGTGTAGTATAAGAAAGTGCTGAAATTATAATCAAGGTCAGAATTTCTCTGAAAGTCTGCAAGTTGGCTCAGGTGTCGCCAACTTTTCAGGGTCCGTGGCCCTCTTGGGAATTTAATAAAATTCTTCAAAAACTGCTGCAAAAAGTGTACTGAATGTATTGCTGCTTTGGCACCTGCCTATTATATTGTACACTGCAATTTATTCAGAAAAACACTTTTTTGAGGTCCATTAGACACTGCAATATCTCTTCAGTGAAGGATTATCTAATTCACCTAATTGCTGGTGATGCCATAGAGCCAAAGCGTCTCTATGCAAGTGTGCTCTTGCGAAGTCTACTAGTTGTTTCTTTTGGGAAAAATGCTATTGCACAGATACATTTTGTACTAAAATAGTGCCTAAATAGTGCCTCTTTCAACTATTCACCTGCTTAACCAATTCAACTATTCACCTGCTTAACCAAATTAACCAATGTTCTCCATGAGTAGATTCTCTGTGTCATTTTGACAGCTGAAGGGCTAATATTGCAAATTTGGAAGGATAAATCCTCAGCTTCTATAATGCAATGGATTAGTGTCCTTGCAACACTTTCAATATTTGAATAAGTAAAATACAGGCTCCAGCATCAAACAAATACTTAGTTGGATACATGGTCTGCTTTTGCTGAATCCTCATTTCATATGCATTCATCATGACAGGTATATACAAATCCATGTAGGTATAGGGAAATAAGCACATAAATAAACGTTTTGTAGGGACCAACAGGAGTGCAATGGGGGATCCTTCACAGGTACTGCAGGTGCCATGTTGAGGATTACTGATCTATCCCTTTAGGCTGCGTGTGCCCCCTTGCACTATAGGAAAAACAGATTCGGAGTCCAGGCTGAACATCGTTAGGCTCCTGCTGAAGGCCCACGTCCTGGCAGAGGCCCATTGACAAGCCCCCTGGAGCTGCTCCTCCACCGTCCACCTTGCTTGCTTGCCTTCCTCCCACTCTCCCTGGGCCAGGAGGCTTGTGCAGAGGCTCTGCCCATCACACGAACAGGCGGTGGTGAGGAGGAGGAGGAGGAGCCACAGCATCTGGCGGCAATGGCAGAGGGGCGGCGCCACTCACTGCAGAGGGGCGTGCTGAGGTTGTGGAAACGGCAGCACCAGCACTGAGGGAATGGTAGGAAGAGGATCTCCTTTCGAAGTACTGCTGCCTGCCCAGAATTTCAAAAAGAGCAGAGACCGGCTTGCCATCAAGGCACTCATTGTGCTCTGAAATTCCTGGGTCCCTGGAACCAAAAGGATGTGCCTCCTGGTCCTAAAGCCTGCTTGAAAGCGATTCTCATTGTTTTCAATGGGATTTCTTTCCAAGCGCTCTCATTTTCGGCGTGCAACCTTCTTCTGCTGTTTGAACATGTAAAAGTAAACACTCCCACTGAATATTGAAGAGATACCTGGCAGAGAAATGTTGATTAGCTATTGTAGGTCATCTTGCTTAGTACAGACATCACTGTATCCATTCTCCCTGGCTGAGTTATTATTGTCTTGCTAGCATACCCTGTTTCATTTGATTTGTATAAGAAAGGAGATAATTTGCATACATGAATATATTGATTACAATAATTACTCTTCTCTTTATGCAATTCCATTTCTTTCAGAAATGTGCAGAACAGTTTTCCTTTCTTCCACTGCATGGTGGAGAGGGAAAATCTTGTGTTACATTAACAAGGATCGAAAGATGGGGTGGCGGGGCATGACTACCCAGAAACCACTGTAATATATTAACTTTACATACCCTTTGTCCTGATACTGTGAATTCAAGGTCTGAAACTCATGGTGGGGTTTCAAGCCAAATGTATTTTTTAAAATCAAAAATGGTTAAACATTTCAAGCACAGTAAAGCTAGAATGAACAGAAAGCCAAGCTCCACATGTTTTAGTTTTTCAGCCCTGCTCATGCTGGCAGGAGGTTCTGGGAATTAGACTCCAAAGCCCGTGGATAGCTACCTTCTGCCAATCCCTGTATAAAAACAGTAGGCTGCCTGAGCCAAAATCAGCACCTGGCACCGTTCAGCAGCTGTTGGAGCCCCTGCAACCCATTGGGACACACAGCTGACAACATTCTGCATTTGTATTCCTTTTCAGGCTGGTAAAAGCCCCTTCACTGAGGTTACATCACTCTGGACATTATGAGGCACTAAAATGGCAGCCAGACCTGACCACTCGGCATGAGGAGCTGTTCTGCACAAAGCTGTTAATCCACTGTGTCTACTTTCAGTTTTATTCTATGGTTGTGCTCCAAACCCTATACAAGGAGTTTTCCTTTCCTGCTACCACCTGCTGCTGGGGCACTGCTGAAAAAGAATCAGCAGGGCTTGCACAAAAATAAGCCTGGCCTTGCTAGCCCGTTCTTTGAGAGTGTGAATAACAACAAGGACAGTAGCTGAACCCCATGAAACTTTGTGAGACCTCGGCCACATCCCATGACCGAACACAAGATCTTGGCTAGGGGCATGACAGACCCAGAGCTTTTCCAAGAAGTAATGAGGGCCCTGTGGCCTCCGGGTGAAGCAAAGGCAAGGATGGGGTGGGGCCCTTGTGGGACAGTGGGCAAGGAAGCAGGGAAGTGATGTGTCAAAGATGGGGGCACAGGTTCTGCTTCAGGTGGCAAGAGAACTCTGGCAGCGCCTGTCTGTTGAGTAGACCCACCCCCTCAGTTACGAGCATCCGAGTTAAGGACAACCCCTACTTATGTACAAACAAACCCAGAAGTCCTGCCTCATTCTCAAGCAACAAGTGGGTACCCACAGGTGCTGGGTGGTGAGGAGAGGGAGGAAGGAAGGAGGGAAAGCAAAGGAGGAGGGAATAGCAGCAAGGAGCAAAGTCGGAAGTAGTTCCACAGTGGCAGCGGAACTACAGTAGTTTTTCATGCTTATGCTCATGAAAACTAACATATCCTAGGAGTGAGTTTGGCCTATTGTAACTTTCTACTGTATTTGGTTTGTGCCATGCCTCCAAAGTGTAAATCTGATGCAACTGAAGGTGATGCATCAAAGAAAAGAAAAACAATCACAACCGAAACTGAAGTGGAAATAAAGCAATCAGAGAAAGGTGAGACCCCCATTGGTCATTGTGAAAGCATTAGGGTCAACAATCGGATTCTTTTTCTCTCTTCAGTGCTTGCAGTTACTTTATTATTACTGTATTATTATCATTGTTACAATTCTGTATTGTGTATATGGAAGTGTTTCTCAAATGTTTTATATGCTTTTTATATACATGATTCCACTTACATACAAAGCTGAATTAATGACAATCTTAGGAAAGAAACTCATTCTTAACCTAGGGACTGGGTGTACACCTAGTTTTCCTCAAAAAGGCAGAAGGGGCGATTCTATAGACCAGGTGTTTGGCGAGAGTGTTTGCACTATGAGTGGTGTATGTAGGTGGCTTGGAGAATTCACCATTCATCTGCATGGTGAATCAGTCCATTTGCTTCTCTGTCACACAAAATCTCTCACTACTCAGGTGTGTTTCTCAGCTAGGCCGTTATGATCCATTTGCTACTTGGGGGCAGCAACACAGTGTGTCTGCACATGCAACCGTAGATTTATAGAATCATAGAATAGTAGAGTTGGAAGGGGCAGAGGACCATCAGGTCCAACCCACTGCTCACTGTAGGCTCCAAGTTAAACCATCCCGCTCAGATGTCTGTCCAGTTGCATCTTGAATGCCCCTAGTGCAGGAGACCCCACAACCTCTCTAGGTCATTGGTTTCATTGTTGTACTGCACTAGCAATCAAGAAGTTCTTCCTGGTATCCAGCCAGAACCTGGCTTCCTGTAACTCCTTTATTCTGTGTCCTGAACTCTGAACACATGATTGAGAAGAGATTCTGTCCTTCATCTTTGTGACAACCTTTCAAGTACATGCAGAGTGCTATCATATCTTCCCTCAGTCTTCTCTTCTCAAGGCTAAATGTGCCCAATTCCTTCAATTGGGCTTCTCAGGGCTTTGTTTC